TTTATACATTATAGCCAGGTTTGCCGTAAACCCTATAACGATAAGTATAAGTTTCCTTCCTCCTCGTATAACAACTACCTTAACGTATAATACAATTTTCTACTTTAAAAATACCCTATACCTTTATTTAATCCTTAATATCTTTAATAGTAAAAGATCCTCCATTTTATAATTTAATTCTTTTTATATAATAACGTTTATTAAATTTATAATTTATTTTATAAAAGCTTTTAACCTTCCCTTTTAATAATATAAAATAATATATAATATTAATTATATTATATATAATTTAACCTAACCCTTTAATAATAAATATAGGAAAGCTATTTTAATATTATATAATCCTTTATTTAATATATTTAAAAAGGGAATTAATTTTAGTTAAATTATTTAAAGTTATAATTATATAAAAATTAAATAATATTAAGGATAAAAGGTTAACTTAAGGTATAATTAAATAATTTAATTAATTAATAATATAATTTAAATTATATAATATTAAACCTATTTTTTTAAATCCCCTTTATATATTATTTAAAATAATTGCTTTATTAAATATATAAAAAAATATAGTTATAAAATCTTCCTTTTAAATATAAATAATATATACCTATATAAAGCCTTTAATTTACTTTCTATATAATTGTTTTAAAAGGCTAAATACCTTAATATTAAATAGTTAAAAGTAATAAAAGGAATAAAGAAGTATATAAAGAGTAATAATATTATTTTCTTTATAATATAATTTAAATTTATATAAATAATAACTTTTATAACTATTAAAAAGGAAAAGGCAATAATATTCTTTTATATAAAGCTTTATATATTTATTAAAATACTTAATCTAATTTATAATTTATTTATTTATTATTTAACCATTTTTTATAATTATAATCTTTTAATTATTTAATATATTATTATTTTTATATTAAGGTATAAAGTAGTTTTTCCCTATTAAAATAATATATAATAGGATAATTTAACTATATAATAAAATTATTTAAATAATTATAAACTATTTTAAATTACCTAATTAAACAGCTTATAATTTTTGTTTATATTTAATTAAAGTTATAACCATTTTAAATATAATTTTACTTATTATAAACCTAATTTTATTAAAGTTATAAATATCTTTTTTTTAAATATTATTTTTATTTATTATCTTTTATACGAAAATAAATTAAATATAATATTTAATTAGATTTTTATTTAATACCTATTAATAATTAATTTTTTAATTAAAATACATTTAAATATTTAAAGTTCGTTATATAAAGTTTAACGTTTAATTCTTTTTAATTAGCTTTTAACCTTATAATACTATTAATTAATTAGCTATATCTTTTATATAACTATATAAAGGTAGAAACAATTTTATTATAAAATTAAAAATGTATTATACGATTAATTATTCTTCGTCCGGAGTTAATTGGGCTTTTAAAAGTAATATTTCGTTTATTAATTTAAAACCTTTTATTTAAAGGGTAAGTATTATATAAGGAACATTATAAATAGTAGCAATGCATTAAATAAATAATTTTAAGTTTCGTTCGATAGTTTAAAGTATAAGCTATAGGTTGCTTTTTTTATAAAGGGTTTTTATAATTATTAATGAAAAAATAAGGGATTTTTTTTATATACATACAAAGGTTAAAAATGTGGCCAGGTTAATTAGGTGGCCAGGTTAAATAGAAGATGCATTAATTAAAATAACTTTAATTTTTTTTAATATAATATAAACTTTAACTATTAAAATTTAAATAACTTTTAATATTTTAAGGGTTTTTTAAATAAGGTAGGAATTTTAAACGTTTTAATTAAGAGGTTCTTAAACAATATTTTATTTTAAAGATATTTCCGTTTTTTTTAAAATATAAAAATTTCCTAAAATATTATAAAATTCTTTAATATAATTATATAAAGCATTATTAAATTTAAAGGATTTAATATAAATTTAATAAATTAATAAAGTTAGAATATTAAAAACTTTAAAGTTAGTAGCTTTTTTAGGGCTTTAGTTTAAGGAAATAATAAAAGGGTTAAATTTTAAAGAAATCTTTCCATAGGAAAAAATAAGGTTTAAAGTTTATAAATTACTACTTTTATCTTTAAGGTAAAGGTTTTAAGGATTATATATATTATATATTTTATAGTTATTTTAATTTTAAGGATTATAATTATTTTTTATAGGGAAATTTTAAACATTTTAATTTATATTATAATAAGCTTTTTAGTTTTAAGGCTATTAATATTATTATAATTTAATTTAACTTAAAGGAATAAGTATAGGATTAATAGGGGGATTTTTTTACTATTAGCTTTAATAGGGGGGTTAGGATAAAGCTTAACTTTAACTTTAAGGTATTTATAATTAGGGTTAACCTTAAGGGGTAAAGTTTTAACTATAAGGTAAGGTTTAAAGGTAGGATTTTTAATAATATTCTTTTTAAAAATATTAAATATAATTACCTTTATATTAACCTTTATTATATTAAATATATAAATTATATTATAATTAATAAAATAGAATATTAATTTATTAATTATAAATAAGGGGAAAATAACTTTAATTTTAACCTTAACTTTAATAAAAATTTTAATAAGGGAAGTAAAGGAAATTATATTTATTATAATAAATAAAGACTAATTATTATAAAGGAATAATTAATATTTAATATATTTTATAGGTTATATTTATAAAAATGCTTTCTTTATTATTTATTTAAAAGATAAAATTTTTAAAGGTAATAGTATCTTTAAGCTTAATTAATTTATTTTAAATTTTAAGATTTAAAGCTTTAAATATAACTAATAGTTAATTTTTTATATTATAATTATAAAACTTTCCATTATAAATAATACTTTAAATAAAAGGTTTAATAACTTTTCCTTAAATTAAATTATATAATATAAATTTTTTATATTATAAGTTTTAAAAAGTATTATTATAATTTTTTTTAAATTTATTTTAAAAAGTTTTATAAATAAATTAAATAAAATTAATAATAAAATTTAATTATTCTAATTTAATAAGTTTTATAATATATTAAGCTAAGATAATAGTTTAAAAATATATTATTTAAACTATTTTAACTTTATTTTTATTATAAAATAAAGTTAAATTAATAAAATAATTTATAAAAGTTTAAATATTAATATAAATGGTTTACTTTTTTTAAATAATTATATTAAAGTTATTATAATTATAAAGGGATAAGTTAAAGAATTTTACTTTTTTAGCTTTAAAATTTAAAGGAAATGATTTATTTAAAGTTAGGGAATTTTATTTTATTTAAATAACTATTTTAATAATAACCTTTATAACATTTATTTTATAATATTTAAATATAATAGCTATTAAATTTATAGTATTTATAGTAAAAAGGGGTTAATAGGTTTAATTTTTAACTATAATAAAAGGAATTATAAATATAATAAATAATATAAAAATAAAGGTAAATAAATATTTAAGCTATAAAATAAACGTTTTAAATAATAATAGGTTTAATATTAAAATATTTAATAAATAGTTTAAAAGTAAATTATTATTAAATAAATTTAAAAGTAAAATATTTAAAGGATATTAAAATAATTAAAATAGTAAAGTATTTAAAAGGGGTAAATTAATAAGGTCTTTATTAATATAATTTTTTTAACTATTAAAGAAGTTATAAAATTTTAAATATAATTCTACCTATTTAATAAAATAAAGTATAATATTAATAGTTATAATTAAAAAAGTAATTATAAATAATAAATATATAATTTTTTATATATTTACTTTTAAGTTTTATTAAGTAATAAAAGATATATTAAAGTAATAAATTTTATAAAAATATTAAATTTAATATATAAAAAGCTATTTATTTATATAAAAGGGGATTTTTTATAAGGATATTATTATATATTAGTATTAAGGTCTTATCGTTACCGAAAGATTTAGGGAGGGTTAATTAGCTTAGGGAAATTGGTATTTAAGCTTAAAGTTCTTTACGGATATAAAGGAATAGCTTAACTTTAACGTAGTAATATGGATAATGCAGGAAGGAATAACTTAACCTTAAAATAAATAAAAAATATACTTATTAGTTTAAAAACGAAAAAGCGCGACTATCTTAATTATTAACTACCAATCTATAGGAAGATCCTGGCAATCTGCTGCATCTGTTATATTAGTTTGTATAAAGTTGTAGAAGTGGTAGTAGTCTAATTATAGTACCACTGTGTACAGGATGCTACTTATAGTGGGGATGACCAGTGTGGGTCAGGTGACACCCATTCTCACCCAGCACAGCACAGCACATGCGACTGAAGTCATCGTTGGACGGGTTAGGTACGTTACCTCTTTATTCTCCCATCGTGGACAATACACAGACATCCATTCCATCCGCCTTTTATCCCTCAACCAGACAGACCATGCCTAGGTATGCTACCTTAGGTATCTACCTATCTTTCCACAGATTACCGCATGCATACCTGCCACATGCCACCCGCTATGTCCGAAAGGGAGTCCGGGAATGACCTCATGATTCATTCACACCATTAGGTACTATACCCTTCCCAACCCTGCCCTACCATACCATACAATACCTAACCCCAAGCGCGTCACATACTTACCATAAGAACAAATACACATGCACACACACGGCGCTTCCTTAATTCCCCGGTGTTATTATACCTGATATAGATCGATAAATGGGTAGGTACCTAGGTATGTAGGTCTAGTATATATCCGGGGTGCATATGCGCGAACTACGTAGTCTGCATATTCCATACCTACCTTCATGCATGGGAATTAGGTAAGTTGGTATATTTATCCCCCTTTAAGAAAAATCGATGACGCATTGCACCGCGAGCCTGGATTTTGTACGCATGTATTGCTGTCCATACCTCAGGTATTCGACCTGAGTAAGACTTGGTTTAATTCGGTTTGCCGGTTATAGCCGATGTGCAACTCAGAGTACGGTGTAAATCATCTACCTAGACGGCACATAACAAGATAGATGTAATGCCACTGAAAGTTGCATAAATAGATAGATAGATAGATGAATGCGAAAGATTATAACCCACCGCTATATAGGCAACAGTCTGATAAGTAAAAATACAGCAAGATATTACACGTTTCTCGGTATAGTATAAGGTAAAGGGACCCCAAGCCAGATTCACATATATATAACACAGATCAATCTAGAGCCTATACTTTCTCCGTCCCGAGATCCTCCTCGTCGACCTTCGCTTTCTTCTTAACCTCTCTCTTCCGCGGCCGGAGCCATTCTTCCATGCCAATGGGCCAGTACACGCGCCTCTCGGGCCCGCCCATGCCCAGCTCGGCGTCGGGGACTTCTGGAGGCGGCGCGGGCTCCGGTTCGTCCGAGACATCGTCGGGGACCTCGTCGTCATCACCTTTCTTTTTACGCTGCTGTTTCTTCTTCTTCTTTGACGGCTTGGGCAGGGGTCTGTTCTCGTCCTGTCGCTCGTAAGGGACCACGTCGTTGAAGGTGTCCCAGCCGGGAAGCCGGAAGTTCCGCATCAGATCGAATACGGCCTGCTCTTTGTCCTTGGCTTCGATCATCAGGTCCATGGTATCCGGGCAAGGGGGCAGTGTCAGTACACGGGGACGATGCTTTCGACGCTGTCGCGGTGTCACTGCGTCCGAGCATGGTTCGCTGTAGTGCATTTTCTGCGTGATCCCCTTCCGATCCCACGTCGCTTTGATCCGGGGATACAGTTCCATGATGTCCTGCGTTCCTTCGCGTATGAGATCCTTGTTGAACATGATGTTGTGATGATGGTAGTCGAGAACCATTGGGATGTTGAGCTCTTCGCAAATAGGGAGAATGTCGTGTACCGTCCAGGACACGTCGTCATTCTCTAGTACTAGCCTCGCCTTTACCCCGTCTGAAAGTTTGGCATAGTTCTCTCTGAACCGATCAAGCGTCGCTGCTTTGTCGCCGAATACGCCGCCCATGTGTATGATCATGACGGCATCCTTGTCAAGCTGTTTTGGTAGACGAAGAAGCGATAGCAGTTCGTGGTGATACTCGAGGTCGCGCACAGCGCTCTTGACAACTTCGTTTCTGGGCGACCCCAGCTGTGTAAACTAAAATTCGAGTTAGACATTTTCAACATATCCGAAGACGGAACCACTAACCTGGCCAGGATGAGTGGTTAGTCGATGACCTAATTCCGCTGCTACTCTTCCGGCTTCCGCAAGGACATCCGAGGCAAAGGGTGCAAGTTTGTATCCGTATGTTTCATGGCTCGCGAATGGGAACATCTCAGAACTGAGACGCATGAACTTGATACCGTACTTGTCGTTCCATCGTAGCATTTTCACAATATCGCGAGCATTTGCGAGACCTAAACCTTCAACGTACTTCTGACCCCTCTCAACGTCCGGAGGCTGATCTTTATCTGGTCGATTCTTGGTCGCATGTGCTGGTTGCGAGGGATCTTGAAGTGGGTGGCGGTTTTCGAGAATAGAAGCTATGCGACATGTTCGAGAGCTAAATACTGGTGGATTACTATTGCGAAGATATGTGTTCAGGCATGCCTATAGACAAGTCAGCTACCTCAAGCTCGCCATCGGCGGCAGCTAGTCGCGTTCGGAGCAATCATTTACATAACCTAACCTGCCTTTCCACGGCAATGGTAGATACTCGCTGTTGACGGGAGGGGGCCTGGCGCCTTCTTGCTTGATGATATTGATGTCGTTGTCTCCGAGAACAAATTCGTCTTCCTCCTGCGCCTGGAGCTTTTTGGTTTCTTCTTCGGCATCGTCTTTGGGATAGATGGGGCTCCCTGGTCCGCTAACGCGTTTCAACGCATTTGATTCTGCACTGGCGGATAGGATCTCTCGTTGACCTTTTACGACACGTGGCATGAAAACAGCATACTCATCGTCGGTAGGTTTGTTTGATTTCACATGGCTTTCCTTGATCGCCCTCTTCTGTCGCTTGCACTCGTTCCGAAACTGATTCTCCATCTCCTGTAAGCTAGTCACTGCTACCTGGGCTTCCCCCTCTGGGATTTCTGCATCTCGTCCACGTTTCACTTTCGTGTAGCCAGGTCGAATCTGCTTAGTAACAGTCAAGCCATCCACCAGTTGCGGATGGGATGTTTGGTTATCTTTATCCAGAAGACGACCCGATCTCCTCGGGGCGTCTGTCCGCTGACCAGGAATAGATCGCTCATCTAAATTGTTCTCAGATGGCATGAGTGCCATAGTCGACTTTTTGCGCTTAAGGGCCATTGTAAGAGAATCCGAGAAAAGTTGAGTAGCCAAGGGTCGTCTTGTAGATAGCACTTCATAAGAGCGGACCAGAGACCGCAAACCAGACGTCAACATCCGTATGGGAACGTTCTCCACCAATCGTAGAACCAGGTAGGTAAGAGCTGCCCAGAGATTTCAAGCTAGTTCGAGCACGGAGCGCGAGGCCAGAACCAAACATTGAGCGAGATGTGATAAAGACGGGCCTAATTGGGGAGGTGAAGGTGGAAGGGAGGCGTCATAACTTGGCGACACAAAGAAGGATAATGGGTAGACAAATGGAGGCTTTGCTCCGAGGATGTTCTATGTCAACATCGGGGTGCGTACTGGAGACTGAAGAATAATTGTCGAACGAGTGCTCCCACGGCGAGGCGTCGGTTCAGCAAAGAAAGGACCGAGTCTCAGCCACCAGGTGGAAACCTACCACGTCGCGTGTGAGCTGCGAGTCGCTGGGCGGCGACGGAGGAAAAGTGACGGATGACATAGTGCCACAGCGGCCACATCTAAACCACACCAGGATCGGGGTCTCATCGGGGGGGGGGTTTCAATTTTAACGGAGCGAGTCTGGCCTCCCGGGAATCTGATAAGTAAATGTGAATCCGATATGGCACTCGATGAAATCATAAAACTACAACGACATCATAGAAATGGGTCGGATCTGCAATGGGCTACTTCGTAGGGCAGTTGGCTGGGGGGGGCGGATGATGCCGTTAATTGGTTCAGACTGTTATCGCAGACTCACAGTGTGGCTCGCCACGCACACCGAGTCGACACCAGCTGGTAAGAATCTCAGATCGCCTTTTTGCCCCCTGCCGCCGACTGGTGGACATGAGTGACGGACAGGACAGAGACAGGGATACCTACATGTACCTATCCAACCTACCGGAATGCTATCCCATTCTCCATATTGCATTCATTACGCGTCTGATCCCGTCTGCAGCGCGTTCCTATTATCGATCGTATGTTCTCGTACAAATCGGTGTTCTCGTGACATTCAGGAGGAAACACTCCTGAGTGCTTCGCATCTAGCCGCTCTTAGCATACCCGAATGCTGTCATTGCCTAAGTACCGGGAGTAGCGCTGGGGAGCTTTAACAGCATATGGGAGCTTCATTTCTCCGTATAACTCGCGACGTCCTCCTGCAATATCTATATCAATTTAATTTGCTTTCACCACTCATTTTTCCTATGTTTCATAGATAAATGGTATGGAGGTGATAGTAGTAGTAGGCTACGCAGTAATCATCTCTCTTAGCTGTGCCAGCCTCTCCGTCTTGGTCGGCACATAATATCGACCTCTGCATACTGGACACTGGTATTTCCCCTTCATAAACCACGCGACCAGGCACTGCGCGTAAAACGTATGACCACATTGACGGATGACTAATATTTCTTCTTCTTTTTCTTCTTCTTCTTCTACAGATTGAGGGGCATTATTAATTTCACATTTTATTAATCCTGCCTTAGAAGTGTTGACATCGCAGTCTGTTGGACGGGGACTCTCTTCGGACTTCCTACTGAAGGACGATAGGCAGATGGGACTTTGCATGTTGGTTAGTATGGTTGATATGTGGACATTAAGTGGTACTCGCAGAAGCTTGCTCACCATTCGGTATCGTGGCCCTCGGCCCTGTAGTGTAGCTGCGTTCGCTTCTCCGTGACAGTATATAATCGATTCAGCGCATTTTGAATCGCAATCGGTGACGGGATATCTGGTGGCTGAGGCGGCCATCTGCGACGCCGGCGCTGCCTTCTCAGGTCAAGACATCTAGGATCGCATCAGCAACTATGGGTTCCCAAGTGTGTCTTCAAGGGAGCCTTGTTCACCTTGCTAAACAAATCGTCAGAAGAACAGAAAGAATGACGCCTGCTATGAAAAGACCTTGTTCCTTCGATAACATGATAGACTGCGTATGTTGGTGATGGCTTAGTGGCGCAATCACGGAGGAGCGACACCGAAACTCGGAACAGAGGCCGGTTGGCCTTTGCTCTTTATCGTGAAGGAGATACGAGAGATGTTGTAAGGGTTGCGAGGATACCCCGGTCAGTCGCAAGCGTGCGCTTCGCTGTGTTTCTCGTTCTCATTCCTATAATAGAATCGCAAAGTTTCGTGAAGATTTACACTTGCACTAGAGCCGTCATGTGCTTACTTACCCGGAATTTCGCAAGCACAAACTCTCCAAGCTAACACGGTAAGGAACCGGAATGGCTTGCAGTGGACACCATCATATAGTTTCTAACGAAGATTTAAGTTATACAAAATCGCGCTCAAGCAAGGAACACCTAGCTAGAGAGGACCGCGAAGTTTGGGCCGAACCGGAAAAGTGGCCCCTTGAAGTCAGCTTTAAAGTCAGCCTCCGTGAACAAATGGACACCCGTGAGGTCTATTTCTAACATCTAATTGTCTATACAAGGCGGGAAAGCGAGTCTTTATCTTCATTCATCAATGACACCAAACTTTTGAGTCGTCAATTTTCGTCAGATTCCAGGCATCGCTAAGTTGAATAGCCGAATGCCGCATAGTTTAAGAGATCTAAAACGGGATAAAGGCCCCAAGTTGCTATGGAGGCCATCGATAACAGCTGTATGATGCTTCACTTCGTCCTAATTCTCTTTGCCGAAGGCTGGTTATCCTCCTCTTGCGAGGCTATGGAGCCATTGATCTTCTCACTGACAAGACTTATAGCCTCTTGAAGGATAAGTTTTTCACCGTAGCGAACAAATAGCGCCATTCCAGGGTGACCCAATACTGTATTGCTAGAGAGAAGCTTTTCATCATCGGCGGTGCTTGTAGGGTATTCGGCGAGCTTGAGCTGAAACGCACGCCCCATGGCAGATAGGCAGATTTCATCTCTTCGCTGTTTATCGGGTATTGTTTCAGGGCTCAGTTTTCTTATGGCCTTAAGAATGGTGTTGATCTGTTCGCGCAGATCTTCTGGAAGTGACTTCAGTGTCTTAGGACCGTGATACTCGCCTCGCGAATCTGGCTCATCCAAGTCACGGTCTATAACGAAGGCGTCTTCAAAGTCTTCTGGCTCGAATTGGGCAGACTTGAGAGTGTATTAGCTTAATCTTGTTCGACACAGAGATCGTAGATCACTTACGGCTTCACCCCATATTGTGTTATCCACTACAAGGACCTGCTTCAGGGCGGACACCACCAAATTCCACGGGATCTCAACTACATCGTATCGGGCATGATGCACACTAGTATAGCCATATCGACGTAACAGCTCCCCGTTTCCGAGAGGACCATAGTAGTTTAATATCTCTTGTCCGGCGGCAATTGGCCGAATGGCAGTAACAGTCAAGCTGTCTTCTTCGTGATTCACGTGCGCCTGATGAGTATTAGTAATCCCTTTGCGCGCCATGCTAGAGAGTGTGATAGAAGCTCACGTTGAACTCGGCGTCCGCATTGAGGATGTCGGCCATAGGTACCATGCCCATCAAGATCTTGCCCTCTCTATCCTCTACCCACTCGTCCTCTTCCTCCTGATCAGCTCCGTCATCATCGTTCTCCAGGTCAAATGCGTAGGCCATGATGGTGCTGCCTATCCGATGAGCTAGCGAGATGAGCGCGTCTTCTGACAGCTTCTGTGCACCATTGGGATAGAAGACATCGGCGTTCTTCTCGACGATGGGAAGGATCCTTGCCCGGAACATGGATTCTGCATCATCTTTGCCAATTTTATGAACGATGGAGCTGGCCTGCAACCAATCCAGCTCGGCGTCAGACCACCACATTAAAGTGTCGAAGTCAGTCGGTAAAACGTCAAAATACCGCTTCCAGCGGGAATTATCGCCCTGCAGGTACTCGTATATCATGACCAAGATGAGAGAAACCCAGTTGTCGGGCGGGCCGTTCTCGCCGCCATCATCATCCGCTTCATTGTCAGTATCGTCTGTGACAGTAGGCGCAAAGGCAACGGGTAGTTTCTTAGCAAGCTCAGACGTCTGCGTATTGATGATGGCAGCTCTCGGTATAGTGAAAAGCACAGTATCTTCTGGAATGTCGGCTTTTGCGACTAGTCGAGTCGTCAGTGGGGTGTTCGCAGAGGTCAGACTGAGACATGGGATGTAGGTAGAAAGGTGAGAAGAAGCAGGCAGCGTAAGGATGAGCGCCAAGAAAACTTACCGATTCCACGCCCTCGGCCACTGTTTCGGAGGTCTCTAATCTCAATGTCCTCGTGAAAACTCGCCCCAGGCCAGGCCTTAAACCAGTCCAAAAAACTAGCCGATTTTCCCTCGAAAGCCAGATCCGACATCGTGGCTGCCTGTGTATCAGTCTCTGGTGAATGACATGAAAATTTCGAATCTACTAATCATATAAGTAGCTTTTTGAATTTTAAGCTGCCGATGGAGGTACCGAGCTGATCGAATGAGTTACAGTAAGCCTGCAAACACCTGCGGCAGTTGCAGAGAGTTCGTTGTACGCATAGCCCCGAGTAGACACTAATGCAGCTTTTGTGCAAAACATCTGCAGCTAGGGAGAGTTATGCATTCTTCGATAAATGCATAAATGCTACATATAGTGGGTAACTACCTGTTCCCAGGTACCTAGTCTAAGGGATGATGCTTGTTCAGATCGCACAAAATCAGCGACCAAGGTTTTAAACAAGGCGCAACTTCTGTAAAATTTATCATGACCATTATCCAAAATCATTTTGCAATCAGTCGCTGGAGGACACACGGAGTGGAATTCTCCAACTACTCTAGGTAAGGTACCTAGAGCAAATGTGGCTATGACAAGGAAAGGGAGTCACCAGCCACTTTGTGGCTGACGGGCATGACTCTCTTCGTGATAACTTCACCGTCTTCACATTTGTGTCCCTATAGATCCCTTTACTCAGCTTGTTATGTTGGCATTTCTTAGAAGATCTTAATTCTGAGACATTTGTATTAGTAGCAGCATTTATATGCAATTTCCAGTCTCATTCCCTGATTCAGCAAACATAGAGATCGTAGAATCGAAATCTTGTTACAAAGTTTAGCATAAGCGGCACAGGTAAGTGTGGTTAGATGCGGCACGGTTAGCAGCAAAGCCACACGCTCTAAATCATAAGGTATGTTGGTCTTCCCTTTTGACAAGCAGATTATCTATTACCCTCTCTTTCACTTTAGTGAGCATCGCAAAAGTAATCCATCTCTTCTGCATCCTGTAAACGGACACTCTCCGCCTACACAAATCCCATCGCAAACCTACTATTAGTTCCCATTTGCCTTAACTCAAGATCGTCAATAGTCGGAATCTAACCATGAGGCCACCTTCATCTACGTTGCACATGGCCTCTGAAATGGCAAAGACGTCCATTCATAGTACTGGCGCCAGACTTCGAACTAACCCTGGGCCTCGGGACTCTGAGGTTTTGGCTTATCCTTCAACTGAAGGCGTTGTTATCGGTCAACTTTTAGGCGTCGAACTAGATTGGCTTGGGATTCCGCCTGCGTCCCCAGCTTTACTACAGCCGTCAGGTGACCAAGATGGAGAAGATGAATTTGCCCTGAAACTTATGCACATCGGCGGCCGGTGGTGGCCAAGCCTCAAATTCCATGCTTTACAGGGATTGACAAGTTGTCCCTACGGGTATCACTATCCGCCGGATTTGCGTATTGCTTACGGTCCTTTAGGCACTCTAGAATAGGCTGTGATTGTTCTCAAGACTTCCCTGATTCTCTTGGGGTTGGGGATCGATTACCCGAGGACACCCTAGAGAGGCCAGAAGACTGGTCTCGCCTAGCGGCCTGCAGAACTATGGAAGAACGATGGGCTGTACTTAAAGACTTTGGCGCTACCGAGTATGACGATGTCAAGATGTGTCCTGATATTCCAGATTCGTTGGCAGCAGGAGTTGTGGAGGGCAGACGCTATGAAGAGCTATTGAAGAAGATGCAGGGTGACGATTATCGCGCCATATGGCTAGATGAATTGTGGAGGCGTAGGGATTGATGTGTTATAGAGCCTGGTCTTCTTTTCAAATACTCACTTTGTCCTCTGCAATAGCCAAAATTTTAGAGCCGTACTTTTGGCCCAGCTGCTCCGACTCAAAGACAATGGGAGAATTTGAGACAACTGCTGTGCCCAACATGTTAACGGTAGTGTGTGGTACCTGTTGTGAGCTTGCACCACTGAGCAATAAAGGGGGTTAAGGGGGGTTTGGTTATCATCAAGGCTGCGGACTGCTGTCGTTATTGTATTATAAAGTGGCCAATGGAGTTACTGTGATATATGCTGGGTTTAGCAATTCCCTACGAATGGCAAGATGGATTCATCATACTTAACGAGTATCAGCTAAAGTTGGGTAACGGATATGGTGTCACTGCCTTGTCACTAGTGTTATCGTTTTCGACACATGATGGTCACGTTCAAGGTAAAGGCTACTACGGTCTGAATGCTGACCATCCTTAAGATATATATTAATTTAGCCCTACAATAACTATCAGTCAGTGCTACCACCAACAATAGTACCTATCTTATTTACAGCACTGTTTCATGGCACTTAAACGCTGCATGGGAGATTAAGTGGCCGAGTGAGGCTTTCAATTACCTAGATCCAGGCAGCTTTCAGAAATTTCCTTATGCCTAGTACATTGACGTGGCGGATCATTCAGCTCGTCGAATCCCACAAAATGGGGCATGTGACACGATTTCAAGTGTATCTAGCCGAGTCATTTCGGTTAGTTCCAACCCCAACATTCTCACCCAGCCTCACCAATTACATTTGCTATATCCGGTCGTCCTACAGTCAACATGTTTGATTGAGCATTTGGGCATTGGGATTTTCTTGGGTGACTCGGAACTCCGGCTGGAGCTTATAAATGAGCTCTTACAAATTATAGGCCCTGGCGAGCCTTGCGCCGCAAATGTTGGCTCCGGCGATTTCTAGTCCACGCCGCATTCCTCACAGAACATATGATATATTAACCCTCCGTGCTTCCACCGTCTTGTCTTTTTCTAGCGATGGAACAATATTCACATTCGAAGTGTCATTCACTATCAGTCATTGATACCTTCGTCGACTTAATTATTGTCAGACCCTCAATACAACGCCGAAAACATGTCTCGTTATGCTAAAGCACATGAAGAGAGAAACGGACCAGGCGATGCCAGGCCTACTGCTCTCCAGATAATCAAGGATGAAGGCCGTGAAGGTACCCTGGCAGACAAAGTCTTCCTGGTTACTGGCGCTTCGTCAGGCATAGGCATTGAGACCGGCCGTGCTCTTGCTGCCACCGGCGGCAAAGTGTTTCTTGCTGTCCGTGACCTCGAGAAGGGCAAAGCTGCTTGTCAGTCGTTTTTAGAACCCGGTCGAGTCGAGCTGATCGAACTTGACGTCAGTAAGCTACAATCAGTTCGACAAGCTGCTGCTACTTTTTTGCAACAGTCGAAACAACTTAACGTCCTCGTCTGCAATGCCGGTATCATGACGGTGCCAACACGAGAGGAAACCGAGGACGGATTCGAGATGCAGCTCGCAACCAACTATTTAGGCCACTTCCTCCTTTTTTGGTTACTTAAGGACGTTCTACTCAAGTCATCAACACCCGACTTCCAGTCCAGGCTGATCAATGTTTCCAGTTCTGGTCATCATGCATCCGAAATTGTGTGGGATGACTTGAACTTGACGAAAGAGGGAGCCTATGATCCCACGGGTGCATACGGCCAGTCGAAACTTGCGCAGATCTATCACGCAAACTATGTTGACCGAAACTTCGGCTCTGAAGGCCTCCACGCTCTCAGCCTCATGCCGGGTGGTATTATCGAGACCGGTTTATCGAAATACACACCCAAAGAAATGGTGGATGGTTTCAGGCAGCACCCAGTGTTATCGAAGTGGGTAAAAAGTCGTGAGCAAGGTGCTGCTACCACTGTTATAGCCGCTGTGGGGAAGGAATGGGAAGGCAAGGGCGGTGAATACTTGGAGGACTGTGTAGTGGCACCATCTGGGGAGTTCATGCCCAATCTCATGGGCATCAAGGAGTACATACACGATGAGTCTAAGGAAAACAAACTTTGGGAGTTGACCTTGAAGACGCTTGGGCTGTAGAGCTCCAAATGCACAAATGCAAGCAGGAGGCTCCCAGGGCCTATCATTGTCAGGGAGCAGAGCATGACGTACTTCGATGAAATAGCCATATGGCAAGATCTAGACAATGGGTCGTACTCCATGTACCACAAGTTAATAGCGTCTCCCTCGTTTCCTATAAATTGTTGTATTCTTGTATTGGCTGAGTCAGCAAAAGGCGCGTAGCGCTAACTGGATTGCAATTTAGTGAGACGGATAAAGGAAGTCATGGACAAAACATCAACGTCTCATTCCGTATGAATGGCAGGACCCGTCTAGTAACAGAGAAGAGGGTGGTGGTGGCAAGAATAAGGACTCTGTCGACAATGAAGGAGATTATAACCTTGGCCTAAACTACGAGGAGTTGAATATTCTAAAATACTCAGAAAGAGGCGCAACCTCCACTAAGCAAAAACCCTGCCTCACAACCACCCCCCGTCACGACCAGGGCCCTAGGCACCCTAAAACACGCTTTAACTCCCAACCACCTAATTAAACACTATTTAATAACGCAACCGCATTTAAATCTTACAATAACTTTTTACCCTCATTCTATTTAAAATTAACTCCTCTTTATCGTTATATTTTTTAATTTTAAAAATTATTATACTATAGCTATTATTTATATAATTTAACTTAAAACCCTAATTTAAATAATAATATATATTTAAAGCATTAATAAATTATACTTATATTATTAGCTTTAAAATATTTTTATTAAAAAATAAACCTATATTAACCTTTAAACTTTATTAACCTATTATAAATATTAATTAATAAATTAAATAATAAAATAAATTAAGTTAAGCTTTATACCTTTACTTTTTAAATTTAAATTTATAATTAAATATATATTAATTACTTTAAGCAATAATAAAAGCTTTAAAAAAATAATATATATATTTTTTAATTTAAAATAATAAAATTAAATTAATTAAATTATAATTTATTAATTATATATATATTAATAATATAATAATAATTAATATTAACTTTTTTTTAATTATTTTAAAGCTTTAAAAATTATAAATATCCCTTTTAATTATTTTTATAATATTAATAAAATAAATATAAATTAAAGTATTAACGCATCTTTCATTTAACCTGGCTACCTAATTGACCTGGCTATATTTTTAACCTTTGTACGTATAAAAAAAAATCCTTTATTTTTCCACTAACAATTATAGAAACCCTTTATAAAGAAAGTAACCTATAGCTTACATTTTAAGCTGTTAAATAAAACTTAAAATTATTTATTTAATATATTACTATTATTTATAATGTTCCTTATATAATACTTACTTTTTAAATAAAAGGTTTTAAACTAATAAGTAAAATACTACCTTTAAAAGCTTAATTAACTCCAAATAAAGAAAAATTAATTATATAATATATTTTTAATCTTATAATAAGATTGTTTTTATTTTTATATAACGCATCTCCCACTTGACCTGGCCACCCAATTGACCTGGCCACCCCCCTAGCCCATATAAATAACGTCGGTGCGCTAATCACGTGATAATTCAATAACTCTACGAATATTAGTCGTAAAAAATAATGAAATATACCATTAGATTCGTAATGAAAAGAGCTATTTAACGGTACCCTTCATCAGTTTATACGACTTATATTCGCTGAGTTATTAAGCAATACGCTAAAGTAAGCGTTAAAGTAAACCCTGCTTAGCGCCCCTTTAGCGTATTGCTTAATATCTCGCTTAATAAATTTTATAAAAAATAGTAAAAAATACCTCTGGATTCCCCTTTAACTAACGGATTCAACGGTACTAATTATTAAATCGTATGATTAATATTCGTAAAGTTATCATAGATTGAAATAATGGGGTTTTATATAGGTTAAAGGGGTGGCCAGCTCAATTGGGTGGCCAGGTCAAGTGGGAGATGCGTTAGTTATATAAAAAATATAACTAATTAATTAATAATATTATAGAGTTAAAAGTTAATTGGAAAAAATTAAACGTTAAACTTTATATAATAAACTTTAAATATTTAAACGTATTTTAATTAAAAAATCAATTATTAATAAATATTAAATAAAAATCCAATTAAATATTATATTTAATTTATCTTTATATAAAAAATAATAAATAAAAATAATATTTAAAAAGAAAATATTTATAACTTTAATAAAATTAAGTTTATAATAAGTAAAATTATATTTAAAATAATTATAATTTTAATTAAATATAAATAAAAACTATAAGTTATTTAATTAAGTAATTTAAAATAATTTATAATTATTTAAGTAATTTTATTATATAGTTAAATTATTTTACTATATATTATTTTAATAGGAAAAAATTACTTTATACTTTAATATAAAAATAATAATATATTAAATAATTAAAAAATTATAACTATAAAAAATGGTTAAATAATAAATAAATAAATTATAAATTAAATTAAGCATTTTAATAAATATATAAAGCTTTATATAAAAGAATAGATATAGAATTTATAAAAGAAGGATTGGAAAAACCTTTAATAACTTTTTAGATTTAAACCTAATTATTAAATAAATTAATCCATTATAACCGAAAGTTTAACTTTTACCTAATAGGAGGCTTATATTTTAAGCGTAGATAGCAAATACGGAAAAAAATAAAGGAATAATAATAAACGACCTATTTATTAATAATATAACGGAAAACTAAAATAAACCTATTAGTAATATAATTATAATATAATAACTATTTAATGGGGAGCAGGCTATTATCGATTTAAAAAGAATTAAAGGGATATTAAATAAAATGTTTAAATTAATATTATAGCTTATAATAAATAAAAAGGCGGAAGAAGGACTTTCTTTATAAAAAGATATAAAAAGGGTATAGTTAATTTGTTTTATTTATAAATTAACTATAAAATAGGCAAAATTAAAACTAAATATAGAAAAAAGAAATAATGCCTTAATTATCCAAAGAAACCTTAAAGAAGCCCTATAGAAGGCCTTACGATAAACCATATATATAATAATAAACCTTTTAAAATTATAGGCTTAAATAATAGTTACTATATAGTTAAGCAATATTAATAAAGTAATATTGTTAAAGTATAATAAGGAAATCCTTATTTAAATTAAGGAATAAATAAATAATTTTAAAAAAAGGATATTAAGGGATATTATAAAGGTAATAAATATAATATTCCTTAAAAACAACATTATTATAATAAAAAAGCTATATAGCGGTAATATAGTAATAATATTTAAGGATATAATATTAAAGGAAGTAATAAACGAAAAGTAAATAATAAAGGCTTTCAATAAAGGGTTAAAGCTATAATATAAAAAAGTAGCTATAATTATAAAGGGGATCCTAAAGAATTAAATTTAAAAAATATATATAAATAAAGAACTATTATAATTACTTTAAAAGGAATACTTAAATATTATACGTTATAAAAGGATAATGCTTAAAAATAATAAAGTAAAGCTAATATTTATTATTATTTATATTATTAATATAATAGTAATAAAGTTAATATATAATAGTAGCTTTTTATAAAAGGCTTAACTTTTTAATTATAAACCCTTTTTATTAAAATTAAGGATTATATAATACTTTAATTGCTATAAATATAAATATATTATAAAGTATTATAGGAAGGACTTAAAGTATAACCTTTATATAATATTAAAGTATTAGGAAGGAAAAAAAGAATGCCTAATAAAAAAAGCCAATAGAAAAAAGAAGTATATAAATTATAATAAAGCTTATATAGCTTAAAATAAGGGATATAAAAGGGGAATAAAGGAAAAAAGTAAAGTAAAAGCAATATATATATTATAATCTAGGAGCTTTTAAAATAAGGAGGAAGTAAAAGCTATAAATAAAGAAATAACTAATTTTAAGGCTCCTTTAATATTAACCTTTATTAAATTTAACAATAATAAATTATTAATAAAAAGGCTATAAATTAATAATAATATAAAAAGATTAACACTATTATTTATTTAATAATATATAATATAGCCTTTTAAAATATTATAGGATTAAAAACTAATATAATAAAGGTATTTTTAAATATTAACTTTAATTATATAGTAATATAAAAACCTTTAATTAATAAATATAATAATATTTATTACTTTAAAAATTATAACTATTAACTTATATAGGGAAAAAGTAGGGCTATATTATACATTAATAAAAGAATAATAATAAAGTTATTAGGAAGGAAGTATAAAAAGGATTAAACAAATATAATAATAGGTAATAATAATTTAATAATAACAATTTAGTTAATATATTCCCTAAATTAAAAGGGGATTAAGTAATAAAGCCTAATATAAGAAATAAAAAGGAAAGGAAAAATATTGGGAAGATACCTTTTTATAAAAGATTTTCACTTTTATTACTTACTTTAGGACCTATTAGGTTATAAAAGCTAAGGGGCTAAAGAACTTTTAAAGTTTATAATATAATAGGACTTTATATTAGCTATATTTTAAAAGGAAGTAATAAAATTAAAGAAGGGTTAAAAGGATTTAATAATAGATTTAATATAAGTAAGTAATAACCTAATAGTAATATATAGAGGAGACTTAAAATAGCTAAGATTAAATTATATAGTAATAAAGGTTATAATAACCTTAAGAATAATTTTATAAGGTTACTACTGTTAAGTAAAAGGGTAAAATTAGTTAAAATTAAATAAAGAAAGGGTTATAACGGAAGCTTTAATAAATATTATTAAAATAAAAGTTCTATAAATTAATAATAAGTTTAATAAAGCTTTTAATATATTTATTTTATAACTTATAAAAATAGCAGATAAGTTTATATTTAAAAAGACTTTAAAGATAAAATAAAAGGCCCTTATATAATAGTTACTAAAGGTAATAATAGCGGAAAAAAAAGTTAAAAGAGCTTATCGCTATTTTTAAAGCAAAAGAACTATAATAGCTTAAACTACCCTTAAAAAAAAGGAATAGCTACTTAATAAAAAGGTAACGAAAATATAAAAGTATAACTAAAGGAGGGCTTTAATAAAAGCATTTAAAAATTTAAAAATACTTTAAGGCTTAACTAAATAGGTAAGGTTAACCTATAAACCAGCATTTAGAATTATAGCTATACTACTATTATTTAAAATTAAAAGCAACCCTAATATAATAAATATATTTAAAGGGAAAATAACCCTATTAATAGAACGCTTTTTCCTAATGCTACCAGTAAACCTATTTAATATCTTAAGTAAAAACTTTATCTATAATAAATATTATAATAGGAAAGAAGGATATTATAAAAATAATTTAAAGGTTAACCTTATAAAAAATATTAAAGGGGAACCTATTACTTAATAGTTTTTTAAAAGTATATAGATTAACTTTAGTTAAATAATTAATTACCC